CGCTTGTTACGTTGTGGTCATTTAGTATTGGCTGTTGGCGAGGCTGTCTGTGGAGGAGGCGATCCGTCAGGGTTGCCCGGTGACCAAGGGTATTTTCGCCCTGTAGTAAGCCGTATGTATCGGGCCGAATTCATTTCAATTTAAACTCTGCCATGCTATGTGACTTTCTGCACCGTGGCGTCGTCACTGTCTGGAAGGACCCATCCGCTGTATCATCTCGGTGTTCCATGGGCTTCTCTTTCAGCCGGCCGCGTACGGGTTGAAGTTCGCCCCCTTCCTGTTCGTCGGCTTCTTCGACGAACTCAGGGGGGGCGTGTGTTGTCGAATCTTCGTTTCGCGACTGTTCTCGCTCTTTCCCCCCCTCCCTCCCTCCCTCCCTCCCTCCCTCCCTCCCTCCTCCTTGCCTCAACGAGCAGGCAATCCAAAAATCCCTCCTCCTCCTGCACCTCCTCCTCCTCCTTTTCCTCCTCCTCCTCCTCCTGCACCTCCTCCTCCTCCTCCTTTTCCTCCTCCTCCTCCTCCTCAGCTCCTCCTCCTCCTCCTCCTCCCTCTTCCTCCTCACCCTTCCTCCTCTCCTCCTCCTCCTCCTCCTCCTCCTCCTCCTCGCCCTCCTCTTCCTCCTCGTCCCCCTCCCCCTCCTCCTCCTCCTCCTCTTCCTCCTCCTCCTCCTCCTCCTCCTCCTCCTCTTCGTCACCCTTCCCATTATGATCCTCCTGGTCCTCCTCCTGCTCCTCCTCCTCCTCCACCTCCTCCGCCTATTCCTCCTCTTCCTCTCCCTCCTCCTCCTCTTCCTCCACCGCCTCCTGTGCCTCATCATGTCACTCCACCTCGTCCCCCTCCACTTACGAAATCCCCCCCCCCCAATGCTCCTGGTGCGACTCCTCCTCGTCTTGCTCTTTCTCCTCCTCTTCATCCTCTACCTCGCCATCGACCTCCTCCTTGTATTTTTCCTCCTGCTCCTCCTCCTTCTCGCCGTGGCTGTGTCGAACCCACGTAACTTGACCTCTCCGTGCCCTGCGCGTTTTGGTGAGTGTCAGAACCGTGGGGCCCGATGTGCATGGCAGCAGATCTGCAACGGCAGACATCCCAAGAAGTCGGGAGTTCAGCTGAATGGTGTTATCCCTCTTGACCAGCTTATGCTCTCTTTAGCTGAGGAGCAGGAGCGGGAGGCGGAGGTGGGGCAGGAGCAGGGGGGATGAACTCTCCTGCCGCCCGCCCGCCGCGGCCGCCAACAGCAGGCGCGCCGCTCCCGCGCGCGCCCCCCCTTGCAAAGGGTAGTGGGGCAGCGTAGCAGAGACACAGACACTGCTAAGGTTTTGGGTTGGGTCGGTTCGGCCAACCCTCAGCCTTCCTTCCTTCTTACTGCGTGCTACTCCTCCTCCTCCTCCTCCTCCTCCTCCTCCTCCTCCTCCTCCTCCTCTTCCCCCTCCTCCCGTCTCCCTCCTCCAATACTCGTCGTCGCGCAGCACCTCGGAGCTCTCTCCTCCTCCCGCTCTCCTCCCCGATCCTGCCCCCTCCCTGCCCGCCGCGCTCTCGCCGAGGCATCGCCACGATTTGCTCCGGCATGGCTCCTCCCTGACCAGCCCTTGTAAATCTACAAATGACTACCTACCAGCCAGACCACCCCAACCCAACCCGAAGACCCGAATTTCGGGTTGGGGGGGTACGGGTTCCATATGTGTTTTCTCGATGTTCCCCGACCCCCCCGCCACTGGAAATGGAGGTCAATGTGAGGCCTTCGGGTTGGGTTGGGGTGGTTTGGTGGATGGTGAACAAAGGAATCGTGCTCGCGCCTCAGCGCCAGCCACCTCCTCCTTGTGGCCAGGGGCGACCAGACCTCTGCCAGAGCATGATTCGATCCTCCTCGCTCCTCTCCCCTCCCTCTCGGAAGCCAGAATTTCGAGGATACTTCAAGCGAAACGGACCAGACCACCTCTGGCACGGCATCTCGGAGCCCAATTGCGAGGATGTCTCAAGCGAAACGGGTCAGATCACCTCGCACACATTTTCTGAGAGCCCAGAGTTGCGAGGATGTCTCAGGCGAAACTGGCTGGACCACCCCGCGGAAATGGCCCAGGAGCCTGGAATTGCGAGGATGTCTCACGAGCAACATCTCGAAGTCCCGGATTGCGAGGATGTCTCAGGCGAAACGTGTTGGGCCACCTCGCGTGCGACATCTGGGAACTCAGAGTTCCGATGATGTCCCAGGCGGCGCCAAGCCCCCCTCCCTGAGCACAATTCGACAACAGATGTGTTATCACATGGTTCGTTTGGGTCTGACTCCTCCTCCCTTTTGGAGCCCAGAATTTCGAGGAAAAGAACCCTGAATTGTGAGGATATCTCAGGCGAAACGGGCTGGACAACCTCGCGTGTGACGTCTGGGAGCTCAGAGTTCCGAGGATGTTTTAGGCGACGCCCAGATCAGGCCTCGCCCAGACCCCTCCCAGAGCACAATTCGACAACAGAAGTGCAATCGAATGGTTCGCTTGGGTCTAACCCCTCCTCTCTCCTTTCTCCTCCCTCTTGGAGCCCAGAATTTCGAGGAGGGCTCAGGCGAAACAGGCCGGACCACCTCGCTCGCAGCATCGCGGAGCCCCGAATTACAAGGATATCTCAAGCGAAACGGACCACATACCCTTGCGCACATTTTCTCAGAGCTGAAGGTTGCAAGGATGTCTCAGGTGAAACGAGCTGGACCACCTCTCGCGCAGCATCTCGGAGCTGCGGGGTGCGATGATATCTCAGGCGAAAGGCGTCAGACCACCTCTCGCGCGGCAGCTCGGAGCTCAGAGTTGCGAGGATGTCTCAAGCGAAACGCGGGCCGGACCACCTCGCGCGTGCCATTTCGGAGCCCCGAGTTGCGAGGATTTTAAACGAAACGAGCCAGACCACCTCGCGCGCGGCATCTCGGAGGCCAGAGTTGCGAGGATGCTTCAGGCCAAGCAAGCCAGACCACCTCGCGCGTGGCATCTCGGGGTTGAACATTTAGAACATGTCTTAGACGAAACGGCTGGGACCACCTCGCGCGCAGCGTCCAGGAGCCTAGATTTTCGAGGATGCCTCAGGCGAAACGGCCCGGACCACCTCTCGCACGGCCTCTCGGGGCTTAGAATTTCGAGGATGCCTCGGGCGAAATGGCCCAAACAACCTCGCGCGCGGCGCCCCAGAGCCCAATTTCTGAGGATCTCTTAAGCGAAACGGCCCGGAACACCTCTCGCACGGCATCTCGGGGCTTAGAATTTCGAGGATGCCTCAGGCGAAACGGCCCAAACAACCTCGCGCGCGGCGCCCCAGAGCCCAATTTCTGAGGATCTCTTAAGCGAAACGGCCCGGAACACCTTTCGCACGGCATCTCGGGGCTTAGAGTTTCCAGAATGTTTTAAGCGAAACGGCCTGGAACACCTCGCGCTGGGCGTCCCAGAACCCAGATTTCCGAGGATGTCTAAAGCGAAACGGCCAATCCCGGACAACTCAGAAACGAAACTTGTGAGGAGATCTCAGTCAAACAGGCCCGGAACACTCGACTATTGTCGGGATGTCTCTGCTCTCCTTTCCCTCGCCCGGAGTTAGCTTTTGCCACAACAACACCCCGTTCAGCAAGCTGTTTGGGGGAAAAACAACACAGCGGTTCTTGAAGTAGGAAGACGCTTGAAGTAGACTCTGGCATCAAGGGATATCCCAAAATACCCACCTTTCAGCGAAGAGCGAGTACTCGAGACTTACGTTTTCCCTAGACAAGCTCGTCCCACTGCTCGCAACATAACTGCTCACAGATGGTCTGGACCCGCCAGGGAGGATTCACGAAACAAATCACACCGATGCAAACCCGCTGCGAACCAGCATCTCTGCGCTGCCTGCCGAACAGGAGCATGAGCCGGCGACACCCAAAAAGCGAAGGCGGAAGGAGCGCGCGCAGCCCGGAAGCCAGGAGGCGGCGGAGGCGGCGGCAGAGGAGGTGCAGCGGAAGTAGTAGCAGGAGGCGGCGGCGGAGGCGATGGATGAGGCGGTGGAGCAGTGATACATAGTAGTCAGTGTCAACGGAGAATCTAGCGTGAGAAACCTGCCCGAATCCTTCTGCGAACCGACACCGATGCAGAATCTAGCTCTCTGACGTCTGCGAGCCGGCATCCTGCGAGTAGCGGAACGTGCTCGGTGATCCCCGGCCCTCGGCACGCCGCCGCATGTCCACGGCTGCTGAAGGGGCCCACAAGCACACACGCATAAAGACACACACACAAGTAGCAGGATGCCCCAACTTTTCGCACATTTTCTGGGCTTCTGTCTCCCCCCACACTCCCCATATTTTCCCACATTTTCTGAGGAATCTACGACTCAGTTTAAGTAGGGCGCGTCCCCCTACATGGGGAATATTCAAAAATAGGCAAACAATAATCTGGAATATTTTCCAAAGAGGCCAAAATCGTTGATTTTCATTGTTTTTTCTATGTTTTCTGCGTTCTGGCTTTTTCGGCTTCCGGACGCTCCAAGACGGCCCAAGAGGCCCCCAAGACCGCTCCAAGACGGCCCACGAGGCTCCCAAGACGGCCCCGGAACGGCCCAGGAGGGCCCCCAAAACGGCCCAAGTGCCGCCCAACACGGACCAAGAGGCCCCAAGACGGGCCCAAGAGGGGCTCAAGAGGGGAACCGAGAACTGAAAAATCGAACCCTCCGCCCCAGAAGGCGCCCATGAGGCCCCCAAAAGGCCCCAAGAGGCCCCCAAGAGGCCCCCAAGACGCCACAAGAGGCGCCCAAGAGGCCCAAAAGAGGCCCCAAGAGGCCCCAAAACGGCCCCCAAGAGGCCCCAAAACTCGGCTAGCCCACAACGGTGCGACAATATGGGCCGGCGGAATGAGCGAAGCGATTAATAATCTGGAATATTTTCTAAATTTTTCACCCAAGATCCCCCTGTAGGGGGACACGCCCGACTTCAGACTAATTCTGTCTGTGCCTTTTTGTTCCCTCCCGAACGGGGGCGCCGGCGGCGGCCCGCGCGGCCGGGCCTCGTCGCCGAGGCTCTCCCTCTCGGCCTCCGGGCGGCAGGGCGGGGCGCCGCTGCCGGGCAGGCGCCGCGCGGCGGGGGGCGGTCGCCTCCCCTCCTCCGCCTCGCTCTCCCTCCCCCCCCCCCTCCCCCTCCACCTCCTCCTCTCCCCCCCTCCCTCGCTCCCTGCCCTCCATCTCCCTCCCCTCCCTCCCCCCCCCATCCCTCCCCTCCACGGCCCCCGTCCCTTCTTCTCCCTCCCTCCTCCCCTCCCTCCCCTCCACCTGTCTCCCCTCCACCTCCCTCCCCTCCCCTCCCTCCCTCCCCTCCCTCCCTTCCCTCCCTCCCCTTCCACAGTTACTCAATATGAAAATACTCTCCCTCTTCCCCTGATGGCGTCCGGGTGATGGCCGCGCATTCTCCGCGTATTGTTGTTTTACACACAGGATGCCCGGGAAATCCCGGGAAACGACTCTCGCTGAGGCGCCGGCGTCATTTTCGGGCCGAACGCCCCCCGCGTACTGTTTTTTAACACACAGGATTCCCGGGAAACGGGTTTTCGCGTGCGTTTTATTATTATTATTTTTTGTTTGTTTTTTATATAATATTTAAAAATGATGCTCTCGCTGAGGCGCCGGCCTCATTTCTGCTCCCGAATCGTTCCGAATCGTGCTCCCGCTGCAGCGTGGGCCTCATTTTCGGATCGGTGTTTGGCCTCCGTCGTTCAGGATGGCGTTCTCGCCCCAGCGCGGGCCTCTTTCTCGCGCGCCCATCCGCCCGCCACCACCGCGCCGCACCACCACCACCACCACCACCACCACCACCACCACCACCACCACCACCACCACCACCACCACCACCAGCACCAGCACCAGCACCAGCACCAGCACCAGCACCAGCACCAGCACCAGCACCAGCACCAGCACACCACACACACACACCCACCCCCACCCCTCCACCCCCACGTCCCTTCCCGGGGGGGCGCGGGTGGGCAGGGTCGCGCGCTCGGTCCTTGCTGTGGCTCCGGGGAACTCCGCCGCCGTGCCCCTCGGCACGCCGTGGGGTGCCCCGAGGCCCCCGCAGCTCTGCGAGGTTCGGGCTTGGCGAAAGGGGGAGATAGCAAAGGGGGGGTTTGAGACTCAGCTCACGTAGCTGATTTTCCCGGCGCCTCCCCCGCCGGAGGCGGCCCTGCTTCGAGGAATGAGCCCCTCGGTGGGGCCGAAACCAGCTGCATGCAGCAGATTTCGTACCCCCCCTTTCCCTATCATTCCCGTTCGTCCGGCCCGAATTCCAACTCATTTTCAATATTTTTGTTGGATTGTCGTCTTCCCCTCCACTTACCACATTTTCCTGGGAGTCGCCCGTTAATCGTGTCTGTGTTTTTCCCCCTCCTGATTGTTATGGGCCCGAGCCCCTGGTTCCCAGGCGGTCCTGACTGAGCAGTCCTGGGCGCTGCTTGGGTGTGTCGCCTGAGCCTTTGGGACGCCAAGAAAGCCCCGAAACTGGCCAAGAGGCCCCGCAGAGGCCCCAAAGAGGGCCGAAGAAGGTCCTGAGTCGTCGAACGATCGGTCCAAGACGCCCAAGATGGCCGACAGACGGCCGAAGATGCCCCCGAGACGCCCCAAGAGGCCTCCAAAGAGGTTAACATCATTGATTATCCTCCATGCATCGTATTCCCGACGCTCCATCCCCGGGATTCCGGTTGGCTCCTCAAGATGTCCTGAATTGGCGAAGTCGGTTGACGCCCCAAGATGCCCCGCAACCCAGACGGCCCGAAGATGAGACGACGAGAGCCCCCGAGGCCTCCAAAGAGGTTAACATCATTGATTATCCTCAGGTGTTTCATGCATCGTGGCGTTCTTGCCTTTTCTGATTCCCGACGCTCCAGGACGGCCCAAGAGGCTCCCCGGGATCGCCCAACGACGGCCGAAGAGGCCTCTAAGACGGTCCCAACAGGCCCAAGATGGCTCCGAAACGGCTCAAGATGCGCCCAAGACGTCCCGCAGAGGCCCCCGAGATGGCTCAAAGCAGGGGCCCCGACTGGGAGCCGAATGGATATTTCGAGCTCTCGGCCCTAGGAGGCCCCCAGGAGGCCCCAAGAGAGGCCCCCAAGAGGCCCCAAGAGGCCCCAAGAGGCCCCCAAGAAGCTCCCAGGCAGCCCTCAGAAGCCCCCAAACTGCCCCCAGGAAGCTCCCAAGAGACCCCAAGAAGCATCCCTGAGGACTCTGAGCCGCAACCCAGGCACGGTGGCGGGATAAGCCGAAGGCCGATCGATCCGCCGCCCCCTGTTGGCTTGCCACAGGGGTGCCCGGCGTGCTGGACCCTTTCGTTTTTTGCTTCCAAAATATCGAGGCCCCCGAGAAGCCCCCACATGCCCCCAAGAGGCCCAAGGAGGTCCACAAGCCTCCAAGAGGAGGATCGCAGGAGGCTTGCTGCGTGTTCGTCAGGATGTCGTGTGGGGGATCTCAGGGGCGCTTTGGAAACAGTTCGGACGCCTTTTGGGCGCCGTGTTGTCCAAGCTTCTTGGGGCGCCCAAGGGGTCGCTTGGCCTCCTGGGGCCTCTCGGGGGCTCCCGGGAGCATCGTCTGGCGGAACACTCGAGTTGTTGGTTCGGGCTCCGGCTCTCGGGCCACTTTGGGGACCGTCTTCGGGCCCTCCTGCAGTCTCTTGGGCGACCCTCGGGCCGTCTTGGAGCTCTCCTGGGCTGTCTTGAGGCGCTCTTGGGGCAGAAAAGCCGTGCACGTGAAACATGCACGATTTCCACAAGGGGCTGGGGCAAATTTGGCGCTTTGGGGTGCTCTTGGGAGTGCCCTTGGAGACTTCTCGGGCCGTCTTGGCCGGTTCCTTGGGACGTCTTGGGACCGTCTTGGGCGTCTTGGAGCGGTTCTTCGGCGATTCGCCTTCCTGGGTCATCGTGGGGGTCTTTCTTCGGAGGCCTCCTGGCCCGTCTTTCACCGGGCGCGTTCCACTATTCGCAAAGTGCCTACTCGTAAACAACTGGAAATACACGTGCGTGTGCCGATGCAATGTATCGCAAATCGTCCATGGTGGACCCAGGCCATTTGCGAGTAGTTACTCTGCGAGTAGTGGAATGCGCTTGTCTAATCTTGGCATAGGGCCCTGGACCCCTGCCACTGGCACGAGGGCCCGGAGGTTGCCCCGAAGGCCCTCGGCCGCATACACCTGCCCTCCATTGTGTCACACTTTACGCCCTCTGGGCTACGGTGGTTTCGCGCGTCTGCTCTCGGAGAGCAGACGCGTCTCCCCCTTCTTTCCCCTCGGGGGGGAGCTTTACCCCTCCCCCTAGGTACCCCAAGCCGCAAGACCCCCCCCCCCTCGCCCAAGCCATGGAATTTGAGTGCACCGGACACGGCCGAGACACTGCGCGAACGAGATAGACGGGGAGAGAGACGTCCAGACCAGACCAGCATGGCAGACCAGCGCGGCGCTCTAGCACGGCAATTTAGCACGGCAGACCAAACCAGCACGTCTACCCAGACCAACGCGCCAGACCAGACCAGCACGGCGTAACTGGTCTGCCGTGCTGGTCTGCCGTGATGGTCTACCCTGGTGGACTGGCAGCTTCTTGAGGGCCTCTGGGGACCTCCTGAGCGCCTCTAGGAAGCTCCTTTGGAGCCTCCTGGGGGCCTCTTGGAGAACACTTGTAGGTTTTCTTGGGGGGCCACTGCCTATTAGGGCTTCCTGGGCCAAAGGACGGTGCCACTTGTTGGTCCTTTTCTTCCGAAGCGTTGAAAACATGGGGCCTTTTTGAGGCCCTCTTCGGGGCCCCGTTCAAAGCACAAAAGCCAATATGCCAGAGCTGCACGCTTTCACAGGAAGGACTGGAACGTTTTTCACCTCTTGCTTGGGGCTTTCTTGTAAGTCCCCTTGAAGTCCTCTTGGGAAGTCCCTCCCCGGGGTCTGAATGAGGGGGGGTCGCGAGCGGTCAGAGCGGCGAGGACGGCCTCAGCGAGAAAGCAACAACCATTGATGTTACAGAAGTTGATGTCTAATTTTTGACTTCTGGGGGGGCGAGGCTGATTCACGCCGCCCCCCTTTCTACTCGCTGGCCTCCAAGAGATTTCCCCAAGACGGCCCGACACGTTCCCCCTCACAGTCACCAGATGCGCAGCAGCAAGATGCTTATGTCCTGGCTGCTGGAAAAGCAGTGACACCCGCAGCTGGGGACGGCTGCGGGAGCTACATAGTCCAGACGGGCAACTGCGAGGCGGGGAGTTATCCGTATCCACCGCCTGGGAACCGACGTCCTGGTGCCCCGGCGAGCGGTGGATATGGATATACTTTGGCCCCCAGGGGTCCGAATCTGTCCATGTCTATCGCCTGCCGAGGTCCCCGAAAATCGGTCCTCCAGGCGGTGGCCATGTATAAATTCCTGCCTCGGAGCAGCGTGCCCTGGAGCCAAAGCCGCGCAGCGGGCGAACCAGTCGGCCCTTACCGCTTGGGGCAAGAGGGGATGAGGCTCTCGCCGCTCAGAGCCGTGCCGGTGCGACCGCGCGACGCGCCGATGCCACCACCGCCGCGCCCCCAAGAGGGCCCCAAGAGGGCCCTAAGACGCCCCCAAGAGGTCTCGAAGAGGCGCCCAACGGGCCGCCAAGAGGCACCAAGGCACCCCCAAGCGGCACCCACTGCGCTCCAAGAAGCCCGCACGAGCCGGCAAGATACCCCCAGGACGCCGCAAGAGGCCTTTAAGAGACCATCGAGAGATACACCAAAAGACCCAAGGAGGCATCCAAGGGGCTTCTGGCCTACTGGGGCTCACTTAGGTATCTCGATCGTACCACGCTCCTCTAAGAAGGGCAACTCCCCTGGGCATCGTTCTTGGATGGGCTGGTTGGGGATACGCGAAGCGTAAATATTTTGCTGTGGATGAGCAGGTTGGCCTGGCATAATTTGGTAGCTCAAGACTGTTTTCTCAGCTTGACATGCGTCGTGCGTGGTGTTTTTGTCCTCAAGGATCAGGCTTGGAGGTGCTTTCAAAATGTGTGGTCTTTCATTGCCTTGGCGCACCGTCCCACCAATCGAACTGCTTGGGTTCGACTGTTTCTTCAATGTGCAGCATTGCCTGGAGTTGCTCAGTCGACGGTCCCCACACATGAGGTAACCTGCAGGTGTAGCACGAGCTTGCGCCAGCCCAAACCCTGCGGTGGTCCAGACACCATGTGAGCGTTTTTTTAATTCGGCGTTTCGACATTGGGAGGGAGTGGGGGGAGGGGGGAGTCGGGCTCTGGACCTCTGCTTTGTGCGACTGTTTGCAGCAGTGTGTCTTTGGGGGGAGACTCCACTTGCTCGAAGCAGGCGCCCCAAACAGCCAAGATCTACTCCAGGGGGGACGGGGGGGGGTGCAAGGGACGGCGCCGATCGGCACAATAATGAATACAAAACGATCACCATGCGCTGTCGTATCGATCGCATCTTCCTGAACACCTTCCCTTCCTCCTCCCGCCCTCCTTTAGAAGAAAAAACACGACATAAACATAAACTTTGGTACTCCGCGCGGAGTTCTTGGATCCGCGCTGGACCTCCTTCCTGGCGCGCGGAGCGCGCTGGGGGCGGCGCTGGAGGCGTCACCAAGGGGCCCCAGCGTGGATCCGAGAAATCCGCGCGGACGTCAGAGTTATTATGATCATGCCATGTTTCGTTCCCCTACGATCGCATCTTCCTGAACACCTTCCCTTCCTCCTCCCGCCCTCCTTTAGAAGAAAAACCACGACATAAACATAAACTTTTGGCACTCCGCGCGGGTTTCTTGGATCCGCGCTGGACCCCCTTCCTGGCGCGCGGAGCGCGCTAGGGGCAGCGCTGGAAGCGCCGCCAAGGGGCCCCAGCGCGGATCCGAGAAATCCGCGCGGACGTCAGAGTTATTATGATCATGTCATGGTTCGTTCCCCTACGATCGCATCTTCCTGAACACCTTCCCTTCCTCCTCCCGCCCTCCTTACTCCTCGCTCTCCTCCACCTCCTCCTCCACCACCTCCGCGTCGCTTCGCTCCGCTGCAGCAAGCATCTCGTCGACTATAAATGCCGAGAAGCCCTAGACAACGGCAGCTCTACATCGAAGTGGGAGCCTTGCAGAAGACCGCCCCCCCCTCCTCCTCCCCCCCACCTCAAGCACCTCCTCCTCCGCCGCCTCCTCCTTCTTCTCTGTTGCCTTCGCCCTCATCCTTGCGGGGATTGGGCAGGATGGAGCGGGGAAAACGATGATGAGGGAGGTGGTGCAGGAAAGGGAGGGGAGGAGAAGGAAGGGGTGCGAAAGAGGGTGGTCAAGAGGAGGCAGGACCAATGGCGGGGAGGGATGGAGGTCGGGAAGAGGAAGGAAAGGTGGGGAGGGGGCATGGGGGTGGGAGGACAGGATGAGGGCGGCGAGGAGGAACACGATGAGGAGGGAGGAAGGGGAGGACGGATGGGGGGGGAGTATGAGGGCGGATGACGAAGACGGGATAAGGAATAGAGGAGGGGGCGTGGAAGGAGAGGCGAGGCTTCGAATGGCATGCTGCCCCACTAGACGGTTCAGGCGAAGGACGTGCAGGAAGAGGAGGAGGACGCGAAGGTGTCTGGGTGAGGGTGCTCGGAGCCCTTGCCGTTGTGGGCTCCTCTATACCTTTGCAACCTTTGCAGGCTTCTCCACCCGTTCGCTTCTCTGTTTGCCCTTCTTGCTCTTGTGGTGCACGCACTCTGCCGCTTCCTGCTGTGATCACGCACGTGCCACTTTTTGCTCGGCACGTACGTTCAGACGCAGCGGCCATGCAGCCAGTGTCGGTCTGTCAAGAAACACGCTCTGCCGAGGCCAAGGAGCGGCACGTCTGCGCACCCGGCAGAACCGGGCGCGGCAATCGGCGCGGAAAAACGCGCACACACCCCGACTGACCCTGCCGCCCTGCCCGACCACCCCCCCTCCCCCCCCCCCAAAGCCCCCCTCCCCCCCACCCCTCTGAACGGAGGTAGGGCCAAACCAGACAAAATCAAGAAGCAATGGAATGGATGATGAAGCATCGACTGCAATATCTGTACTGACTTGTTGTTGCGCCATCGATGCGGCCAAACATAGGACAGAATAACATCCTTCAAGAACATGAGACCCTCCGCAGGCCAAACTGAAGAACATTCGAGGGTACCCTCTCCCAGGAGGCACAATAACATCAAACCAATACGAAGATTCTTAGGGTACCCTCCCCGAACCGACTTGGATGTTACACCTCGGATCGGCAACAAGCGAGGGGGGCAATTGAGAAGGAGGCCTTCTCAGATGGCGGCGGGGCTTCTCAGAAGCCCCCCAGCCCCCTGAGAAGTGTTCTGCGCCTTCGGGGAGGCGCAGACGACTTCTCGGAAGGCCCGGGGACTTCCGAGCTTTCTAAGAGGGCCTTCTCCTTCTCTCTCCCCCCCTGGCTCGCCGCCGATCGTAAGGAGCCCACAAAACACGTACGCCCCCAACTACATACATGAACACGGCCCCCCGGGAGACCGGCCGCGTGACAGGAACGTTCGCGCAAGGCGTGCTCTCGAAGCCCACGTGGAGTCATGTAAGTACGTGTTCGTCATTCTTTCGCTCCTGGGGGGTCGGTCCGACCGCATCCTGGAACACACTCCTGGGCATGCCATGGGCTGCCTGCAGCAGGGGCCGGTCCACAAGAAACCTTCCACAAGAAACCCAACCTGGAGACACCCAGGACGTCCATCGATCTTTGGTGTGGGAACGTCGCGCTCTCCATAGCAAAACCACCGAAACCCAAGAAACCCAGGGCACCCTGGAGGTAAGCAGGGCGTCTCTTGGCGTGGGCCTCCTCTGCACGCAGCCCCCCTCGTCCAGTTTCAGGTCGGGCGTGTCCTCCGACAGGGGGACTTCGGACAACTGAAGAGTACCCCAGCTTACGTTCCCCAAAGGATCAAAAATAATTGACAAAACCGTCCCCCAAATGATCAAAAATAGTTGAAAAATAATTGACAAACGAAAAATACCTCATCTATGTCCCCCAAATGATCAACAATAGTTGACAACATCGAAGATGCCTCCTGCAGAGGGGCCGCACCCGACTTCCGTCCAGTGGGCCGGCCACCTCGGCCGACCCGCAGCCTCAGCCCCGACACCCGCCCACGGCGGACGGAGCGGGCGGCCGCCTCTCGGCCGACGCCCCCCTCCTCCGGCTCCTCCCTCCTGCGCCCACGACGCTGCGGCGCTCCTCCCTTGGACGCCCGAGTTATCCGGGGTAACTCGGGTGGGTCCGGGGTAACTCGGGTTTGGGTTCCCGAAAAACGAACCCGAGTCAGCCCTGACCCGAGTTACCCCTGATGATTTTGGGGCTCTGACTCCCCCTCTCCTCGGCCCTGCTGCGCTGCTCGGGCCACCTGCCTGCTTCCACTCTGCCGAGCTACCCTCGCGCGTGAGGCTCCCGAACAGCTCCGGGGCGAGCCATGCTCTCGCGTGGGGCCGCCCTCTCGGCGCTCCGCGGACACCCCTCACGGCATCACCATCGGCGGCATGGGCGGCACCTCCCCGCCGTCCAGCCGGACAATCCTTAAACCTCTCTCCGCGACCTCTGGCCGGAGGCACTCGAAGGCGTGCCGCGCGAAGATGCCCTGCAGCTCCCTCGCGTAGGCGGCGAAGACCTCCTCGACCTTTTCGTCGCTTGGTTCGGGATCGGGGCCCCCCACCCTCACGGGACTCCCCCAGCGGATGTGGATGTCGGTCTTCCGTGGCAAGCCGAACGGGACCCCGAACCGCCCAGCGACGAAGGGCAGCCCGGCGCCAGTCGTCCTGTATAGCCACCTGGCAATGCTGCCAGCCCTTTCCGAATGCCAGAACAGCTGGTTCTCGTTGAAAAAATACACGGGCAAGAGGTCGTGGCCATACTTGATCGCCAAGCGGATGAACCCCAGCTTAGCGGGGAATATGGCCTGCTCCTGGTCGTGGAGGGTGGCCAATTGCTCCCGGATGCCTCCAGGCTGCAGCCCGATGGTCTTCCCCTTTCTCAAGAAGCCCTCGACAACAGACTTCGCACAAGACCGGCCGTTCAGGAGCATCAGCGCCTCCGAAACGAAAGGGATCGTGAAAAGCACTGGCGCCACGACGGCGAACCATTCAGGTCCAACCGGCTGGCCAAGCACAGCGAACTTGGAGCACGAGAATATTGCCGACCATGAATACGCCCCATGTGGGTGCCATGTTATGATGTAAGGCCGCTTGGGGTCTATGTTCTTCAAACCCTCCCCACTCTGCGACGCCAGGCGCACCCCGACCAGCCGGGAATACCACTCCAAGATTCGCTGCACCGTGAGGGCGACCACCTTTGGGCCAATGCGCTTCCCGTGCCTCTCCGCATGCATCCGCACGCGATTGCGGAACCCCGCATACGTGGCGTAGCCGACAAGCAAAAGAGCGGCGATCCATGGCGATACTGGCCACGCCATGGCGGATGGCCAGAAGCCAGGAGCTGCCGAGGCAATAAACGCAGGAGATCAACTACTATCTTACTACGGGCGGCAAACAGACACAGCCACATACACATACACAGGCACACATTCAAACACAACACACACACACGCGCACACACAGACGCACACACACACACACCACACACACACGCGCACGCGCACACAACGGCATCCACACCCCCGCACTCAAAAGTACACCCGCCCCCCCACCCCACACACGAACGCACACATACACTCACACACAGACGCACACACACAAACACACAGACACAACTACATACACCCACACATTTAGACACATACACTAACACACGCGCACACAGACACACCACACACAAACATACATACAGAGACACACACAGACACAAACTCTGACCCGCACATCCGCGCAACATGCACCACACACACGCGCACACTCACACCACACAGAACACACAAACCACCCATTCACACACAGATGGACACGCACACGCCCTGTCCCAATGCGGCTAATGCAGGGCAGCGGTGGTCTTGGATGTTTGTTGCGCTACTTTTTCCCTAGTGTAGACTTCGATCACGGTCGTGCTCGTGATCGCGGTAACATTGTATCATCGATCCTGGCAAAGACGAGCTCCGACATAGACCACAATCCTTTGCCGTGGGCCTCAATCCTTTGCCGTCTTCCTCTCCCAGGGCAATGGGGCATGGGATGCCCCAACCAACGACGAGGCGCCACCCTTCGGTCGCACTGCTCTCTGTGTTGGTTCTCCATGCTGTTATAGGTTGGTGGGAGATGCTCTCGCTCTTACCGAACCCGCCGCGTGACGGCCACTCGGGAGCGAATATTTTCAGACTAGCCCGCGTGAAGCAACGCCACCCCTGCCGTCGCGGCACTGCCGCACCCGCACAGACGGATAAGCGGGCGCCGAGAGCTGCCCATCGACGAGCCCACCTAGGCGATGTGCCCAGCTTCCACACTCACCCCACAAAGGTCTATCAGTGTCCACCGTTGCACCTGTCGGGGTATCCCCGCACATTGTCCTTGCTGTCTCCTCGCCTCGTCCTCCTCCCCCTGCTGACGACTCCTCTTTCGTCCTCCTCCTCCTCCTCCGCCCACGCCTCTCTCGTCTCCATCGCCATGGCGTGCAGATCAGGCGGAGAACGAGGGTGGTGATGAGTATGCGAAAGAGGAACAGCATGAATACGATGCTGAGTATGACCGGAGACTCCGAAGGGTGTGGTTTGCAACAAGCACCCTGGGGGGCACCCTGTGGGGCGGGTGATGACCTCAACAGCACACCCCGCTCCCCAGGCCCCAACAGTGCCGATCGCAAACCACGCGTGACCGCACCCTGTGTAGTCGCCGAGATGAGGAGACCGACGAGGCGGAATAGGAATTATGTACGTTGGCCCGCGCGGGCCCAAAACAGTAAGTTATTACACCGTGGATGTGCAAGCCATTAGGTGCAAGCTATCTGGCGTAAGCATTGTGGTGCAATGTATACGTGGTGCAGGCTTGAGACGGCAACGGTGCGGCAACGCGGCGAAACCTCGGCGGACTCTCCAAGCGCGGTTGGCGGCAACGAGGCGGCAACGGGTGGCAACGTGGCGAAACTCTGACGGACCCCTCAACCGCGGTGGGCGGCAACACGGCGGCAACGCGCAGCAATGCGGCGAAAACTCGGCGGACTCTCCAAGCGCGGTTGGCGACGTTGGCGACACCGAGACGGCAACGTCGCGAAACCCCGGCGGACCCTTCAAGCGCGGTGGGCGACAGCGAGGCGGCACCGGGCGGCGACGTGGGGAAACTTCGGCGGACCGTCCAAACGCATTTGTCGCCAACGAGGCGGCAACAGACGGCAATGTGGTGAAACCTCGGCAACCAATTCAATGCCTTAGTTTTAACATGCAAACACTGTTCGGGGTATTACGGGGAACGTGAAACCATCTTTACCGCATCCAATCTCTGACGAACCGAAAGCAATGGGTCCCGCTTGATGGCCGCGCGAAAGAACATATACTCTGAGGAAGATCAAAACGGATAGTGATGATGTAATCAAACCAGATGGACGATACTGATGGCCATGCGGAAGAAGAGGAGGATTACGAAGAGGAGGGGTGAGGGGTGGGGTGGGGCGGGAGAGCAAGACGTGTAGGGCTGGGGGAGGGCAGTGGGGAAGAAGGAGTACGAGGATCACAGCGAAGGGGAGCAACCTCAGGACGATGGGACACACGGAGGACTGGGAAGGGAAGCAGGAGGAGCGGGACACTGGCGGAGGAGGCAGACCAAGACGACGAGCGGGTCGACGAGGACGAGCACCAAAGAGCACGGGCAGGGTCAGGGGGGGGCTGCGGACGGGATGGAAAAGGATACAGTGGAGGCCAGTCCACAAGAAACCTTCCACAAGAAACCCCTGAGAACCCAAGACGTCAATTGATTTTTGGTGTGGAAGCGTCACGCTTTCCATAGCGCGCCATCGAAATCCAAGAAATCCAGGGCACCCTAGAGGTAAGCAGTGTGTTTCTTGGCATGGGTCTCCACTGTGGAAGAGGAGCGCGAGTTAGGACGAGCAGCAGCAAGCCGCTCGAGGAGGAGGGGGAGGAGGGGGAGGAGGAGGAGGAGGTGGAGGAGGAGGAGGGGGAAAAGGAAAAGGAGGAGGAGGATGAGGAGGAGGAGGAGGAGGAGGAGGAGGAGGAGGAGGAGGAGGAGGAGGAGGAAGGAGGAAGAGAGGAGGAGGGAGGAGGAGGAGGGAGGAGGAGGAGGAGGAGGAGGAGGAGGAGGGGGGGGGGGGAGGAGCCACGGGCTGACGAGGGGCGGGGCCGTCATCTCGTCGGTCGCCCCCGCCGCTCGTGACCGCTCGCAGCGCGCCATCGGCGCCGCAGCCGCGGCGGCGCAGAGCCGCCACGCCCCGAGAGGGCGAGCCCGCCTGGCACAGGCGCCAGCGGGAGAAGAGGGCCAACGCCAGGACCCTCTCCCGCGAGCTGGACGCGGCGCACATCCTCAGCAGCCACCGCAGCGCGCAGCAGCCACAGTACCAGCAGCAGCAGCAGCAGCAGCAGCCGCAGTACCAGCAGCAGCCACAGTACCAGCAGCAGCGCCAACGCAGGCGCAGCAGCAGCGAGATGGCTACGAGGGCGCATCAGCAGCACCAGCGCCAGCAGCGCTCCAAGTCAGTCGACAGAGACGCATGGACTGGAGACGTTGGCGCCATTGGAGGGCGACCCTGGTTATGGGCCCGAGGTGACAACCAGCATTACCAACGCCAGCACAACGGTTACCAACAGCACAACGCACAGAGGCAGCAGCACAGCCAGCAGCAGCAACACGCCCACAACCACCAACAACAGCAAGCCCACTAACAGCACCAGCAACAGCAAGCCCAATACCAGCAGCGAGGCGACAACGCTCAGCACTGGAAGGACAGTGCACCATGGAGGAGCACTTCTGCCAAGAGGAGGAACAGCAGGCGCAGAAGAAAGGACCATCAGGACACACCGGCTGCAGCCCACATCGGCAACTTCCAGTGCAGCCTGCAGCAGAAGGTGGTCCTGGACAGCATCACGCCAGTCACCTTCGCCGTCGCGATGGAGCACGAGAGCTGGCCCGCCCCGCCCGACGACGAGGAGATGCGTTACAAGTGGTACAAGGCGAAGTGCCAGAGACTGGGCCGCCTCGCCGAGAACATCGCTGGCGCCAGGTTGGCGGGCCTGTGCACGACGAGCCTCGAGCAGGAAGCGGCGACCACTGCCGCGAACATCTCCTTCGTCCTGCCCCACAAGGAGCGCATGAAGCAGCTCAGGGCTGCGCTGGAAAAGCTGGAGGAAGAGCACACCGAGATGGAGAAGCGGCTCAACATGATGCTCGACCAAGAGGCGGCAGCCGCCCGAACCATCAAGGTCTACAAGACCCTGCTGAGGGAGACCAGGGACCATATGGCCAAAGCGGCGGGCGTGAAGGAGGAGACATCGGAGGAGGAGGGGTACGACGATCGCACCAGAGGACGCACGCCACACCCAGCCGCGAGGAGGAAGCGCGACCCAGCTGCAGCACCAGTTGCACCAGCCGCAGCTCAGTCGACCAGGGCAGTAGCAGCCCCCTCAGGAGCAACAGCAGCAGCAGCACCAGCAGCTCCAGCACAGCATGAAGCACGACATGAAGGCAGCAACGACGAGGAGGAGCGAAGCTCAGGAGGACAAGCCCGGCCACCGGCAGGAAGGTCCAACGCCGACAACAACGACGAGATCAAGGGCGCCATCAGGAAGCTGACCGAGAGGCTCGACCTGCAGCAGAAAAGGGACCAGCAGCAAAGCGACATGCTGGCGAAGCGGAGCTCAATCACAAGAGCGAGTTGAAGGCCTGCGAGCAGACGATGGCGCAACAGATGATCCGCACGACAGAAGCCCAGCTGGCCAAGCAGCAGGAGTGGCACACGTGGGAGGTCAACGCGCTCAAGAGACACCACACCGCCAAGCTGGAGGAGGAAGAAGCGAAGGCATACGATTCGCGAAGAGGCAGCCAGAGGACACAGGAGGAAAGGGCCAAAGGGATGCTTGTGGATTTGCAGAAGCACCTCGAAGTGGAAAAGAAGATGTTACGCGAGGAGATGCAGAAAGAGGACCAGAGAAGAGCAGCCATGTACACGCAGCAGGTCGAGAAGGCCAGACAGGAGGATCAGGCGATGCGACAGATGGCGGCCCAGGAGGCCCAGCGGTACAAGACGGCGCAGGAACACAATGAAAGAGCGATGCAGGAGATGGCGGCAGCGGAACACCAGGAGCGATGCGCGCGACGCCTCGCTCACACAGAAGAGGAGCAGCAGATCGCAGCGGCTTGCCAGCGGATGGCCCACGAGCACCAGGAGGAGTCCAACAGGCGCGAGGCGATGCGGGTCATCCTGAACCTGGAGCACGCAGCCATGCAGGCGAAGGCCAACGAGATGCAGTACGAGCAGGAGAGGTACTTGGAGCGCGCCGGGGAACATCAGGAAGCTGAAGAC